TATGGTGAGCCCGTAGTGGACTTACCTGGCACAGGAGCGGGGCTGTAACTGTTGTTCCCCACAGCCTTTACGAAGGTTTAATATACATGAGGTGTTGCCCACAGCCTGACGAAGGATCCAGCGGACGTGTACAAGGTGACGGAGGAGGACGTGACCTACGCCACCTACCACCCCTTCAGGGACACCACGACGACGATGACGCTGTCTGAGCGGGTCACCCCCGTCTCCCTGGCTGACGAGGTCAACCTCACCAACCTCGTCTACTCGCAGACCCGCGTCACAATTACCGAGAATTGAAACCGTTGGGCGCGTTTCCTGTCACCCAATGCCTCTGTTCACCTAGCAGTAATTAGGCACCCAGGAGTTAGTCAGCTTGTTGTGGGATCGCATCCTGGGAAGGGTCAGTAGTTCGACCTAGGGGGGGGGGCTTGATATAAGCCTAATATGTATAAATACACTGGCTGCCTGTCCCCCGACACAATGAATTATTATTGTTAATATTAAAATGGTCAGTAACACGTAGGAAATGAAAGTGACGACGTGTCAGTCCGTCCTGGACCCGTGTCATGTCACGTGTCACGTCACGTGTCACGTCATGTGTCACGTGTCACGTCACGTGTCAAGTCTCGGACCTCACTGAGTCCCGGACGTCATCAAGTCGCAGGAGCAGAGTGGGAGAAGGAGTCGGCCTTATATTGGCTTCCTCGACCATTGTTGGTATGTCACGACTTGATAATGGTCCTGGACTTGATAATGGTCCTGGACTTGATAATGGTCCTGGACTTGATAATGGTCCTGGACTTGATAATGGTCCTGGACTTGATAATGGTCCTCGACTTGATAATGGTCCTGGACTTGATAATGGTCCTGGACTTGATAATGGTCCTGGACTTGATAATGGTCCTGGACTTGATAATGGTCCTCGACTTGATAATGGTCCTGGACTTGATAATGGTCCTCGACTTGATAATGGTCCTCGACTTGATAATGGTCCTCGACTTGATAATGGTTCTGGACTTGATAATGGTCCTCGACTTGATAATGGTCCTGGACTTGATAATGGTCCTCGACTTGATGATGGTCCTCAACTTGATAATGGCCCTGGACTTGATAATGGTCCTCGACTTGATAATGGTCCTGGACTTGATAATGGTCCTGGACTTGATAATGGTCCTGGACTTGATAATGGTTCAGGAGTTGATAATGGTCCTGGACTTGATAATGGTTCAGGAGTTGATAATGGTCCTGGACTTGATGGTGGTCCTGGACTTGATAATGATCCTGGACTTGATAATTGTCCAGGAATTGATAATGGTCCTGGACTTGATGGTGGTCCTGGACTTGATAATGGTCTTGGACTTGATAATGGTCTTGAAGTTGATAATGGTCCTGGACTTGATAATGGTCTTGGACTTGATGATGGTCCTGGACTTGATAATGGTCCTGGACTTGATAATGGTCCTGAACTTGATAATGGTCCCCAGAACTTGATAATGGTCCCAGGACTTGATAATGGTCCTGGACTTGATAATGGTCGCCCAGGACTTGATAATGGTCCCCGGGACTTGATAATGGTCCCCAGGACTTGATAATGGTCCCCAGGACTTGATAATGGTCCCCAGGACTTGATAATGGTCCCCAGGACTTGATAATGGTCCTGGACTTGATATGGTCCTGGACTTGATAATGGTCCCCAGGACTTGATAATGGTCCTGGGCTTATAATGGTCCTGGACTTGATAATGGTCCCCCAGGACTTGATAATGGTCCCCGGGACTTGATAATGGTCCCCAGTACTTGATAATGGTCCCCAGGACTTGATAATGGTCCCCAGGACTTGATAATGGTCCTCAGGACTTGATAATGGTCCTCAGGACTTGATAATGCTCCCCAGGACTTGATAATGGTCCAGGACGGGCCGAAACGTCCGCACTCTCATGTCACATGTGTGGGATGGGTTGAATGTTGGTACTCTCATGTCACATGTGTGGGATGGGTTGAATGTTGGTACTCTCATGTCACATGTGTGGGATGGGTTGAATGTTGGTACTCTCGTGTCACATGTGTGGGATGGGTTGAATGTTGGTACTCTCGTGTCACATGTGAGGGATGGGTTGAATGTTTGTACTCTCATGTCACATGTGTGGGATGGGTTGAATGTTTGTACTCTCATGTCGCATGTGTGGGATGGGTTGAATGTTTGTACTCTCATGTCACATGTGTGGGATGGGTTGAATGTTGGTACTCTCATGTCACATGTGTGGGATGGGTTGAATGTTTGTACTCTCATGTCACATGTGTGGGATGGGTTGAATGTTGGTACTCTCATGTCACATGTGTGGGATGGGTTGAATGTTTGTACTCTCATGTCACATGTGTGGGATGGGTTGAATGTTGGTACTCTCATGTCACATGTGTGGGATGTGTATTTGCAGCCAGGGTGATGCGACATTCCCTGCATAATAAAAGTGTCTCGACACCAGTAATAGAGTTATTCCTCCTTGCTTGTTACAGGCTCGTGGTTATCCCGGGATAACATGTCCATAAGTGGCCAGGAAACTGTACAACACCTGTCTTGTGAGGACCCAACACCTGTCTTGTGAGGACCCAACACCTGTCTTGTGTGGACCCAATACCTGTCTTGTGAGGACCCAACACCTGTCGTGTGAGGACCCAATACCTGTCTTGTGAGGACCCAACACCTGTCTTGTGAGGACCCAACACCTGTCTTGTGAGGACCCAACACCTGTCTTGTGAGGACCCAACACCTGTCTTGTGAGGACCCAACACCTGTCTTGTGTGGACCCAACACCTGTCTTGTGTGGACCCAACACCTGTCGTGTGAGGACCCAACACCTGTCTTGTGAGGACCCAACACCTGTCTTGTGTGGACCCAACACCTGTCTTGTGAGGACCCAACACCTGTCGTGTGAGGACCCAATACCTGTCTTGTGAGGACCCAACACCTGTCTTGTGAGGACCCAACACCTGTCTTGTGAGGACCCAACACCTGTCTTGTGAGGACCCAACACCTGTCTTGTGAGGACCCAACACCTGTCTTGTGTGGACCCAACACCTGTCTTGTGAGGACCCAACACCTGTCGTGTGAGGACCCAACACCTGTCTTGTGTGGACCCAACACCTGTCTTGTGAGGACCCAACACCTGTCTTGTGTGGACCCAACACCTGTCTTGTGAGGACCCAACACCTGTCTTGTGTGGACCCAACACCTGTCTTGTGAGGACCCAACACCTGTCGTGTGAGGACCCAATACCTGTCTTGTGAGGACCCAACACCTGCCTTGTGAGGACCCACAACCTCTCCAGCTACTGACGTACAAATCCTGTGATAGTGAAGGGTTGGATTCAAGGGTGTAATGACCGTATTGGAAACATGTGTAACATTATTTCGATAAGAGGTGCCTCTGGTTTATTTGGCTCGATAACTATGATAAATCAGAGCACTTGAAGCCATGCAGGTCCTTCTGGTAGAGTTGCTTGAGCTGTAGACTCTAAAGTTAAGAGTCTTGGGCGCTCGTTCCCGGGTTTCTGGCCGCCTGCGATTCGAACCGCAGGCGGGACAGAAATGGTTGGGCACATTTCCTAACACCTATTGCATCTGTTCACTTAGTAGTGAGTATTTACCCATAAGTTAGTCAGCTTGTTGTGGGGAGACGGAATTCTCGATTGTGAGTCGAGAACGAATCCGACTGTACTACTGGGACCCCACTTATTTAGGATGTAACTACCTTTCGATAAGACTTGTCAAACACTGTACGTGGTAGTCACTGCGAGACAATCATTTAGACACTAAATCTGTAACAAAAAGAATTACAAAGTATAATGTAAATGTACAATTGGTATTGACTTCTCAATTGATTTTAGTAGTGTTTATCGTGTTAAATTCCCATTCTCTAGTAAGACAACGCAAAAGAAAACGGTATATAATGACGAGGAACTTTACGAATCTGCTGCTGCGGAGACCAAGCGATATTAATTCCTGTTGACGGCGACACGAATCTTGTACTAACACTTACTTACTAACATCCTCTACGCCACCTATAGACCTACTCCAGGATACGACCCTAACAGTTACGTGACTCCCAGGTACCAATTTAAGTGCTAGGCGAGGTTTTAAGTGAGGGGAATATGACGAATGTCCACTATTAAAAGTGAGGGGAAGGTGACGAATGCCCACTATTTTAAGTGAGAGAAAGAGAGGAAGTAGGAACTACTGCCTGAATAAGAGGTGGACATAAGAGATAACTATACTAGCCGGGAGATGGGGCGTGGGTCGGGCTACTGGGAACCCGCGAAAAGTAGCCTGACACATTCTACCCTTCCATACATTTTAAATTTTGCCCCGAGGGGAGAGTTTATTGTGCAGCGTCACTCATCCTGTGAGAGCCAATTATGTTACGGCCCTCTCGGGACGCAACGGGGTTCTCACTCTGATGTCGTTAGAGGAAGATATATATCCGACCCCAAGCCAGTAGAGGCTTTCAAGGGATGCGATCCGTGACGCAAGTAACTTAAAGGGAGTATGGAAAGATAGCTAAGAACTTAATATTATAATTAGTACCATCACCATTTAAATATATAAAAGTAAAACGTACACAAGGGGGAGGGGTATTAACACTTTACAAAGGGGATCATGCACAATCTAGTCTTCTGCTGAAGACTCTTGATCAAGAAGCTAGGTGCTGAGTCCGCGGTGCTTTCTTCGTGGCCTCAAGACGTGTCCTCTGAGAACGCCGAGCCTACCCTGGCCACAGGTCAGCCACAACACAGGTCCACTGGGGGCACCGTCGTGGAGGCCGTCAACCACACGTCCAGCAGGTCTGCTGGCAGGTACTGAGCCACCAAGGCTGGTACGGCCACTCCACGAACGATAAAAGGGGTACGCCCTAGACAGGAGTCTCGTGTGATATCACCAATCACCCTCCTGTCCTCAATACCCCAGTGGATTATCGTCTCCAACCGTCGGACCCTCTCGGGACGCAACGGGGTTCTTGCTCTGATGTAGTTAGAGGAAGATATATATCCGGCCCCAAGCCAGTAGAGGCTATCAAGGGATGCGATCCGTGACGCAAGTAACTTAAAGGGAGTATGGAAAGAAAGTTAAGAAACTTAATATTATAATTAACACCATCACCATAAATATATATAAAAGTAAAACGTACACAAGGGGGAGGGGTATTAACACTTTACAAAGGGGATCAACACTGTAGTCTTCTGCTGGAGACTATGGATCCTCGAAGCTAGGTGCTGAGTCCGCGGTGCTTTCTTCGTGGCCTCAAGACGTGTCCTCTGAGAGCGCCGAGCCTACCCTGGCCACAGGTCAGTCACAACACAGGTCCACTGGGGGCACCGTCGTGGAGGCCGTCAACCACACGTCCAGCAGGTCTGCTGGCAGGTACTGAGCCACCAAGGCTGGTACGGCCACTCCACGAACGATATAAGGGGTACGCCCTAGACAGGAGTCTCGTGTGATATCACCAATCACCCTCCTGTCCGCAATACCCCAGTGGATTATCGTCTCCAACCGTCGGTCCCGGGTAAATCCTTCCACTGCCACTCCACTGGCAGGCTTAACACACCACAGTGTTCTTCCGGGGGGACGACGTCACGACAGCTGCAGCAAACTTCACTGTATGGAGACTGGCTGCCTCGGGTAGACTGACTCCACCTTCAACACAGTGGTCCCAGGTCGGCTCTGTAAGCAGACACGTCATTAATAACCGGGACACTAATACACCACACTCACAGGCTCAGATACAAACGCCCGACATATCCACTCCCTAGATGGCG